CATCAAACTTGGCCAAAAATTCTAATTTTTTTAATATCTTTGACTATTAGCCACATTCTTAGAGCATCAAAGACATGAATCCTAAAGAACCAAAAATTCAATACATTCTTATGTAACTCAAAGAGTATAGATATTTACTCAAAACTAATACAATATTGAAACTAAAATGGCTATTGCCAAAGACAAGAAGACTAAAATGTCTTGAAAGAAGATTAAGGAGTAAAAAGACATTGATAAGAGTAAAGAAGGCTTCACTCTTGCCTCTATATATACTATTAATTAGGAGTTATGTGACAACATCCTATAAGACCTCCAATACATGTCTAATTTGCAAGACACATGTGTTAATTTGCAAGGTAAGTTTTTTATATGTATACTACATTGTTATCTTGTACTATAAGCTATTTACATGTGTGATACATGACTATTTTATTGGCTAAGTTTTTAACCTATCAATCAACTATAAATATGTATAAAATTGAATATGTATCTATCAAGCTTCTAAGAAGCTTTGCTATAAGATAATATCAAAGCTACATATATTTATCTTCTACCTAATACTTCGTATTTAAATAAATATATATTTTTGTAGTATGGAGTAAAAAAATATTTCTTCAATATTTTTATAATAATGATACTTCTATATAAATAATAATAATTTTTTTAATATTTTTATTTTGACCACTTTTTCTTTTATCTATTTGATCAAATATTCTATAGCTATAATGATATATTGTATTCTATATAAAGATGTAGGATGAATGGATCTAAATAATTTATATTATAATTTTTTAAATAGAATAAGTAAAAGTGATGGATGTAAAGATATTATAAGATTTAAATCATAATGTATATATTGCTAGAAAACATCGTAACATCTTGCAAAAAATTCTAAATTAAAAAATATTGTAGGTCAAAATTAGTATTTTCTAAAGAATTTTTGAATTTTTAACCAATAAGAGAAGTATCTACCACAATCACTTGAGTCACAAACTTCTAAAATAAGTGATATCTCTTCATATATATGACATTGTATTAATATAATAATAATTTTTTAACAACATAATTTTTTAGTTACAAAAAATAAATAGATATTATTCATTTTAATATTTTGTTGTTTATTTTTTTATAAGGCATTGAATAGTTTTTAAGTATTAAAAAACATGTAATATATTTATGTTATATAAATATAACTATAACTTAGAACAAATATAAATTAAGAAATTTATTATCTATATCTTAGATATCTATGGTTGTAGATAATTGTAAGAGGTAATTGATTGATTTATATTATTTTTTTAAATTATATTTTAATATCAAATTTTGAAAAATCAAGATTAGCAAGATAGGTATTATATCTGCTAATTACAAGATGGATGATCTCAATAAAACTCCCTTCTTAACTACCAAGTAATTGTTTTTGGATTGAAAAGAATTCTTATTTTTTAAAAATATTGAAATGACAATTAAAGACTTTCACGATGATCATTCTTTTATGATTGATAAATATGATATGTATTCTTAAAAAATATTTTAAAATACATAAATCATGGCCCTTTGAAAAGCTAAAAGAGCATTACATAAGCCAAACGGCATTATTACATATACAAAAGTTTCTCAAGGTGAGGTAAAAGTAATCTTGTACCAATCTTCTAGAGCTAGATGCAATCTTAAATTCTCTTTGTGCATAGCTTGGCCAAAGGTTTGTGTACTTCTTTGGCACTTTTGATAAATTCTTAAAAATTTCTTTACATCCATGATAGACTTTCTTCACTTAGTTGAATTTGATAGATCAAATATACTTGGATTATCCGTGGTTGAATTTTTTTTTTTTTTAATATTATTGGTCTTGAGATTTCTAATATTTGTATTAGCTTTATGATTATTCTATAATAATATCAATTTTTGTTGTTTTTATTGTTGTTGTTTTCAAAGCCTTGAACTCTTTAATTCTATGATCCATAGTCATACAAAATTCACATTGTATAAAAAGCTTCAAGTATTCAATAAAAATAAATTAATATAATATTAGAAGCCAAGTTTTTCACATGAATTTCAAGCTTCTGGCTTGTTCTAAAATCTATTACAATGTAACATCTTAGTTTAAGAGAACTAATATTCTTTGAACTACAACTTAGAATTTTTTTTGAGTCCATCTACAATGTGCAAAGCAACCAAGAAAAATTCTTTTGGTTGTTAATATTATATTAATTTATTTTCATTGGAATGTATTTTAAAGCCATCTAAGTGGAGGTTTTGAAAGATCCCATAAAATAGAGTCTCTCCAAATTCTAGATGGCGCTAGAATTACAATTTTGAATTCCAAGCCTAAAATGTGAAAATACCAAGCTTACATCTAAAAAATGATAGAATCAAAACATGGGAGAGTATCTTCTTAGGATGCCATCTTTAATTTTTTTTTAGAAAAAAAAAAAAAAAAAAAAAAAAAAAATCTAGATTTTCACTAATAGGAATAGTTACATCCATATATTTTTCTACTTCTTTCTTGTATAATTCAAATTGGGTTTTTCTTAAATCCCATGCACAAAACATGCAATAATAAGGGATCAAGATGATCCAGCAACTTCTTTATGCATAGTATCTTCATGGACCAAAACATCTTTAGGAACAATATAAATCAATAATCCAATATAGCTTTTGGCAAAACTGGGGGATAAGGACTCACTTAGAGAAGGTTTGGTGGGATGCAATTTGCATTGGATTTGGTCAAGGTTGAAGGAAGCAAGCACTTTGCATTGGATTTGCTATTAGATCCATGGGAAGATTCAATTTATTTCCAAACTTGCTTGGCCTCTTGCATTATTGATTAGAATAACAATTGTTGACAGCACCCTGAACCTTAGCAACATCCTTGCTGCTACCTCAACAATCAAAAGTGAAAGAAAAATAAAAATAAAACACCAACAAATTTTAGTACTTGGTCTTGGCTGACAAATTAGGAGTGTGCCCCTGCAATGAGGCCAGGGCTGTGCTTGCAAACCTTCCTACAGGACATCAAGATCACAAAACCCTAGTTCTATTTACACAACCCTGCTGCATCCTTGCTCCTCTCCAATGCTTGTTTTCCACCACAACGCAAATTCAATTACATAAATCACATGAATCCTGTTTTCTTGAAAAATCACAGTTACACATAAACTCTAACATCATTCATTTACACAAAGCACAGAATTCTATTCCCTATTCTGTGTACTTAATTATGTAAAAAGAAGTTTGACTTTGTAGAATGCTGGGGCTTTGGCTCTTGGTGATGCATTGGTCAAATGAGATACAGATCTCACAAAAAGCATGCAGATGAATCATGTTGATTCTGTCTTAGTGAGGCTTTACATTTAAGGCTTTCACTTGGATTGGGGCTCATGCTATTCCTCCTTCAACAAGTCCCACAATTTAGCTTTGTTTGATTTGCTCTGGGCATCATGTTCACACAGCATCAAAATGCTACTAATAATAAAGCATTTAACCCCATGCTATTGAATTCATAATCATCCAATCCTTCTTCATGAATGGTGTTATCAATGCATTGGGGGGGGGGTAAGACTGGGAGTGTAAAGAGTAAATGCAAGAGTCTGGGAGCATGTTAGTGAGTGAGTCCAAGTCTGTCAGTGAGTCAACAACATTATTTCAAATGGGATATTTAAATACATATATACATTTTTGTTGCTTTGTTAGCTGTGTCTTGTGGGCCCTCCCTCCTTTTCCACCCCTGTTCCTTCTTCTTGAAGAGTCCTTGATGGGAACTCACCAATTCCAAGGCCCCCTTTTTATAAATTTGGTTAGGAACATGCCTTTCATCCATCTGAGTAACTTATTCATCCATGCTGCTCATCACATGATCCACACAATTCCAAAGCATGATGATGCTGATGATGAGAAGAACCAAGTGGAAGGTAAGAAAGAAAGGAAACAAGGAGAAAAACAGAAGGAACACCACACATGTCTGTATGACTCATTCTAGAGTCAAGCAGAATGATACAATTTTGTTGGGGGTGTATCCCCAGTGAGCCATTCACAGATTCATGTGTTCAGGGTATTGCCGTCATGATGATGCACCCTTTTCCAATTCATCATAAACTATTACTAATAAATACAAAGTGAAAAAAGAAATCAAGAAATCAAGAAATAAAGGAGGGGAAAAATTAATAAAAAAGTCTATGATTACCATAGGGGTGTTCACATGGACAATGACCCTTTCATTAGCCTTAACCACAAAAGGAAACAGCTTCTTTCCCCCTTTTCAGAATTCAACCTTTTGGGAGAAAGTGAGGGGTCCATCTAACTGGATTGAACTTTCAAAAGGTGAACCTTGAAGACAATGAGCATTTTCCCACCCTCCATTTCATTTTTGCTATGTGAAGAAAATATGGTGAAATTTTGGCGACAATAACAACAACAGCAACTCCACCCTGTGATTCTTCAACAGCCTTTATTGCAACACTTTTGTTGGTGAGCTCAAGCACATTCCAGCTAAAAACGAAAATTCTTGGACATGCGAGCATCTCTAGAAGTATAAAAATAGGGTCAAAACTTTTTTTGAAAACCATAGCTCCATTGCCTAGCCACCAGTCCATGGAGAATGAAGAAACCAGATCGTCTATGCTCACAAACGACTGCACAATACAATAATAACAACACCACAACAACAACAAAAGAGTGAGAGTGTGGGTATGTGGGTGGGGAATTAAAATCCGCTTTTCCAGGATTGATTCCAGTAGATCAGAACGACAGGGTGGTGGAAGCAAGCAGGATTAAAAGAGGAGGAGGAGGAGCAGGGGGGGGGGGGGGGACAACAAATCGCATGCCATGTGGTACAAAATTGTGGCAGAATCACATATATTTGCTCATGTCGATTTGAATGCGTTGTGAGAGCGGGGCTAAAACGGGGAAGGGAGAGGCTAAAAATAAGAGCACGGGGTCGTGTGTTACAAGCCTCACGTGTCAGGGTGGGGTGCTGTCTGCGACGCCTGCGGACTGGAGGAGGAGAGGAGGATCCACCACCAGCCCCGTTGCGTCGTCGGAATCCCGTGACAATGTCGTCTTCGTCGTCGTCGACGAGGACACTGGCAGCAAGAGCAACAACAACAACAAGGAGGCGTGTTTTTCTTTCTCCGATCGGCAGCGGCCACGTCCTTGGAGTGCAACGCGAGACCGAATCTCGGGGATTCTGCCTCCACTCTCGGGAGTCCAGGTCCTGGGAGAGCCACTGGTGGTCCAGTTCCGTCGTTGATGGAGTCTAGTCTAGCGTAGCACCCGATTCCCGATTCCACCTACGCTTGCGCACTCCATGTGCGCAGGCGCCGTCAAATATATCACTGCAGAGGGGCTTGTTGTTCACGTCGCATCCTCCGATGCATATAAGAACCTTGTGGTTAGAGGCAGGTACTTCTAGGCCGAGCGCGGTAGTACCTGTAAGCTACGATGTTGCTAATCTCGTGCTTCACTATCCACTTCGGATGTTGGCTGGCCAGGTGAGTGTGTCGGGTCGTTTTTGCTGCTTAAAGTGAAGTGAAGCTGGGCTGTGAGGTTGTCCGTGAGCTCTGCTGGGTTTGCCGAAGCCATCAAATAATTTTTGGAGCTTGCCCCTTTGAGAGTTCTGTTGTTTATTTTTCCTTTTCCCCTCCCCCCCTTCAATCACAAAGGGGGTTGCGGTGCTGTCGCTAACATGGGGTTGTGTCTAGGCTACATGCTTTTAGATCGCGTGGTTAGTATGTGTGAAACATGTTAGTGTAGAGCAATGAGGGCGCTGAGAAGAGGGTCGCCACCGCAAGGGGTGTGTTTCACCTTTCTAGGAGATCCTTCTTTCCTCTAGGAGTGAAGGGCTTGTGCTTTATTTATTCATTTATTTTCCCCTCTTCCTTCCTTCTTCTTCGTCTTCTTCTGTTCACTGTTTTCCGGTCCTTTTCATTGCGCTTCGACCAGCGTGTTCGCACCGGTCAGCCAACAGCGACAAGTTGTGCACATGAGGCTCCCCTCACTCAGAAAGTGGCAATCTACGACGAATGACGTTGAAGCGAATTCTGGCCCAAGATATGGCATTGTTCTCGACAGCTCTAAGGTAATGATCTTTGCAATCGTGCCCAGTTTTCATGAGCACTGTCGCTTCATCACATTAAGCTCAGTCTCAGTCTGCTCGGGGTTCTGCCAGGCAATCCCGCAATCACCACGCAAGGGCAAATGTGCTCCACAGCGTGTTCGTGTTCGATGGTGTGTCCGGAGCTCGCAGAATCCAATAGCCAAGGTCAGGAAACAGGAACTAAATAAATCACAAAACCCTTTTTTGGGTCCCATGGATAGGTATCATCTCGGCGTGCAGGAGCAGCTAAGTGAGTTGTCAGATGCGTGGTTTCATCAGGACACCGAGGGTTTGGAGCCTCTTTGCGCTCCTCGATGAAACCCTATATTTAGCGACCCCCTCCCCTCCGTAAACGCCTTAGTTTCCCTGTCGGGTGGAGGTCTGGGTGGCAGGTATATGTTGACACCAACTTAAAGATTGTCGGAGCTTGTTAGGGAAGGATTTGGAAGCCTGCCGAAACCCATGTGGAAGACGTGTTACCAATCGTCCTCTCTAATTCATTTAGCAATCCTGACAGAATATTTTCGATCGCCTCTAGAATTCCCCAAGCGCCAGCGTTTATGCTGTGGCGGACGATCTCGCTGATCTGATTAGCTCAGAGATGCTTGGAGGCCAGTGTTTTGCATCCCTCAACAACTGCCACGGTGACTGAAAGGCAACGAGGATGTTTCCGTCGACTGTTTGTCTGATCCTGAATAAAGCCCTATTTCAATCCAGACCTGTCATGCTCACCCCGATTATTTCCCTTCGCTTACATCACGTGGACTTGCTATTGTTCCCCGGTCTCCTGCTTGTGCTTTTGGCTGCTCCTACAATGTGGTTTGCGAGCCAGTATGACCCCTTCTAATGCATTGGGGGGTGAACCATACTCTCCCTTTCCTCGTCATCCGTATCCGCAGCTCATGTCTCTCTTTTCTACGCATTCGACGTTTGGCTGTTCTTCGGATTAGCCAAAGTTTAGCCATATCAAGAGATCCAACAGGGTGAGGGTGCTGGAAAAGTCGAAGGAACGGCTAAATAGGTTGAGCGGGATTTTCGCATCCAGCTGTAATGAACTTGAAGAACAGGTTGTTGAGTTCGTGTAGATCATTTAAAGGGATGAAGGAAGAAGGGTTGGGTTGTGTTCTTTCTGGTAGTGGAAGGCGGGTCTTTTTTTCAAGTTGGAGTAACAGCCTCAGCAGATGCCAAAGCAGTACCTCAGGATCAATTCAATCATCTGTCTTTGAAGGCTCATGTGAAACGAATTCTGATTATAGTTTTTCTTGTAATTCGCTACTAATTGTACTGTCGTACTTTTATCCTGTCGTGACTCTTTTTGACTTCCTCACATCCTCGTCGTTCGCAATTAGCTGGCAGTTTTGTACAGAACTTTGACTTCAGAGAGGCTGCGAGCTCCTGACCTTCATGTTCAAGTTTTTTTTTTTTTTTTTTTTTTTTTTTTAATTTTTTTTTATGCTGACCGTCCTTGCATGATACACGAATTTTGAGCTTGAATTAGCTTGTTTTTCTCATTTACAAAGCAAGACTCCGACGCTGTTTAGTCAGCTTTACTATTCTCCTCCATATCTAACTTGCTTAACATCAGATGAAATTCTAACGTTATCTGTTGCGGGACATCATGATGCTCCGCAATCTCGCAGCCTGATGAATATAGTCTTTTTGAAGCTGAGACATTGCAACATAGAATCTCCATATTGATAGTGTTTTCCGTGGAGCTGAAATGCAGGTAAAATGGATCCAGAATTATGGAGTAAGCTTCCTCAGAAAATACTTCTGGACGTGCTAGCAAGGCTTCCCCACAACTGCATCGCCAGGTGCCGCGAGGTGTGCAAGATATGGAAGGAGCTTCTTGTGATGAAGCACTTCACAGACAGGATTGTATCGGTTCGAAAATCTCATACCCCTTTCTTGCTAGTATGCGTCAAGAGGTATCAAGCCATCATGGCTTATAATCCATCGATGAAGGAGTGGCGAGAAATATTCATCTGGAAAAAGTCACCCAACTTCCAGATTCACTGCTTGCGAGCTGCAGGTGGGGGATTGCTCTGCTTCAAGGGCAATCTTGGCAAAAGGAAGAACGTGGAAGATGGAGATACCAGGCTCCTTGTTGTCAACCCCATTACCAAGTTATGGCGCATCCTCCCCAGCCTCCCTCCAGGCATCCGAGCCTCCGGGTGCGTCAATGTGATCGTCCTCGAGAACGAACCTAACCAGTTCAAGATTCTGTTCATGCAAATTCACCGTGACCCACATGCACAACGCCGCCTAGTGGGGACTCTATACGATTCTGCTGCTGATATGTGGATAACGTACTGTGAGGACACTACCCTGGAGTCCATTTACCGGAGTGTGTATGTCAACGGATCAATGCACTACATTGGCTCCGAGCGGGTGCATGAGAATGGCGCTATTGTCAGCCGAAGACAAGGGGTCTCGTTCGATATGTACAGTAAAGTGTTTTCCAGGTTTGAGGCGCCACTGATCAGCGAGGTCGGCGCCAAGAAATTCATGGAGCTTCACGGCCGGCTTTCGCTGGTTACATTCTCCACGGTGGCCACATTCTCCCCCTCGGTGCAACAGTTCGACGAACAGACTGGGACTTGGGTGGATGCGCAGCTGTTGCCTGCAGGGGTTGGTCTCGGCGTGCAAGGTTACGTGCCGCTGGGTCAGGGCTCCTATCTGTACTTCGCCGACCCGCACCGACAATCTAAAACCGTAGTATGCTACGATTTGTTGAATAGGCAGAGGTTCCTTATTGAAGACGCTTTTCCTGACTTACGTTTTGAAGGTTACAAATTATATCATCCTTCGTTGTGTTCGGTGTGAGAAGCATGCAGCATCGTCCTTCTTTGCATGCCATGCATGCAGGTGGCTGCTTTTCGTTTTAAGATTATTATCCATCTCTATGATATTAGACTAGAAATTTTCTTGCTGGGATGTGGTTTCTACGTAGTCGAGTTATGGAGATCAATTGGAGTTCTATTGGAAGGACTTGATTACTATGCTGGCCGGACTACGTTAGGATAGATTACATTGGGTCTAACCATCGAATCGTATGGTATGAGATCTGTTAAACTTGGTCGTCTCATTGAGCCTAGTATACAATCCGTCGACCTCCACAACATTGATTGTGCATGTTTTTATGACTCAGATTTATACACCACTGGCTTTGCACAGTTTTACTTGGCAAAGAACAGTGTAATTTGTCGTTCAAAAGCTCACAGGTGTTCCATCGGAGTGGCATGATTCTGTCCTGTTTATTCGTTTTCATTAGGATGTGCGATTGGTAACCAGGAGGTTGGTTGTTTAAAGATAACGCGAATCACTCTGAAATGCGTGCGTTAACCAACACTGGGTATTGCCCAAGTCATGCAAATGGCCCAGCAGTTCATTTTAAAACTGGTCTGCCGAGACAACTCAGGATGTGTCGTGCAGATGGTACTCATGCCGTGAGAGCAATTGGCCACCACAAAGCCAGATGCACAAGTACCACTAAAGATTTTCACAACTTACTAAAAATTGTTACAACTAGCATATGCATTACAGATCCGTTGTTGTCTTTCTCCCGTGATACATTTCCAGCGTGTGATTGAGGCAATCAATTTTCTGCTACGCTCTCCAAAGAAAGTTCAAATCTGGGTTTCGGAACCAAGAACAGCGGTTGCTTCTTGCTGACGGAGAGGCTTATTGTCTCAGTCATGTCCACCTCAGTTTGACCTTCCGGCAGAGACCAGTCGAATACATAGAGCAGATTCGCTAACATCATGGCCACCATCGTATTCGCCAGCCTGTATCCTGGGCACATCCGGAGGCCTTTTCCGAACGGCATGAGCTCGTAGGGATCACTTGTGCAAGAAATCTATCAGGATCAAAGCTGTCAGGGTTGTCGTATACACTTGGGTCTCGGTGGATTGTGAAGGCGTTCACTAGCAGCTCCGTTCCTGCCGGGAAATGGTACCCAAGAAGCTCTGTAGGCTCTCTTGATTCATGGGGAAGTAAGAGCGGAGCAGGAGGATGCAGCCGGAAATTCTCTTTCATCACGGCTTGCAGAAAAGGGAGTTGTTGGATGTCGGATTCTTCCACGAGGCGCTTGGAACCTATCACTGAATCCATCTCAGTCTGTGCTCGCTCGATCAGTTCTGGCCTCCTGATGAGTTCGGCCATAGCCCATTCTGAAGTGTTCGAACTAGTCTCCGTCCCAGCATTCAACATTTCCTGTTCTACAGACCAGCTGTTGGTTACTCTCGATGCCCTACACGTCCTACGCCAATGACTAAGAAATATCATTATGCAAAATAGTGCTCAAATGAGAGACACAAAATCTCTTACCTGTAGTAGCTTTAGAAGGTCCTGGTCAGGGAGATTTGTGCCGTTTTCGAATGGCGTCTCCATTAGTACATCTTCAAAATCTGGGACATAGCTTGGGTCGTTTTTCATTTTTTTATAATTGTTTCTGTGGCTGTCGAGGTCGAAAAAATTAGCCGTGAGTTTGTCTGAAACATCGCGGATCTTGGAAAACTTGGATGCATGTCCTTGCAATTTAGTGATGAAGCTCAAGTAGGGCACGAAGTCGCTTATGTCTACAGAACCAAGAAGTTCAAAGACACTGGAAGTCATCTTCTGAAGGTCTTGTCCTTCCTTCTCACTATCGTCTACACTGACACCGTAGAACCTGCGCACGCGCGTGCAGGTGTAACAATGTGAGTAGACAAGAACACTAAATCACTAAATCACTAAGTGAAAACACAATGTAGCAAGGCCCTGCTTTCATGTAGGATGAGACTCTAACAAGTCCACACTGAGAAAAGAGAAGTGTCTTTCTTTCACTTAAGTTGCAAAACAACTCTATAAGCAGGTTCGACATATTGCATCAGCATCAAAATTGTAGAGAAGTTGAAAATACTTGAAGAGATGAATGGGGTTTCAGAGTTAAGACGAAATTGAGGTCATCCTGTGTGGAAAGGTGCAAAACTTCACAAAATCCTTGTTGAAGTTTTGATGAGTCGAAAAGAAAAAAGCTCCAAAGATGATTTTTCCTTCAGGGATTTGAAGTCATACACCTGTTCTGGAGAGGATATCGTGTGTCTTCTAACTACCGTAGCAATTTATTCCATCAAGAGAATACCCCACTACTCTGAGAAAGCAAGCTATGGCGTACCTCTTGCCGACGACCATCCGGGTCATGTTGTTGGAAGTTGTGCCATGCAACCAGGTTTGGAGATTCACTGGATTGCCCTTTTCCGACTCCTCTAGAAGAACTTTCATCATGCACTGGATCTCCTGTGCTCTTGTAACTTCGTAGGAGGCATGACGCCTTGGGGAGAAGAGCTCTGTATTCAGAAGCCTGCGCAGCTTGCGATAATAGGGTCCATACTCAGCGAGGCCGATGTTTCTGTAGTTCTCGTCATTGTTGTTCCAGACGGTCCATGAGAACCTCTTCGGCCGCGAAGCAAAGCTTGCATCAACGGTTGTGTAGAACTCCTTAGCCACGGCAGCCGTGGAAATCACTAAACATGGCTTGGCCCCTGGTGGCACAATGCATTTCAAGGCTCAGGATAGGGAGGATCAAATGGGAGACATCAACTGACAAGGCAACAGCAACAGAATTGTTGGACTGTGAAGGGAACGTTGGAGCCACATCCAGACGGTCCATGAGAACCTCTTCGGCCGCGAAGCAAAGCTTGCATCAACGGTTGTGTAGAACTCCTTAGCCACGGCAGCCGTGGAAATCACTAAACACGGCTTGGCCCCTGGTGGCACAATGCATTTCAAGGCTCAGGATAGGGAGGATCAAATGGGAGACATCAACTGACAAGGCAACAGCAACAGAATTGTTGGACTGTGAAGGGAACGTTGGAGTCACACCTAACCGGAGATACATGAGACCTCCATACTTGCCGGCAAGGTTTCTGTGGGGCAGGTCTCCCAACGCTGAAAAGTTCCCCACAACTGGCCAAGGCCAAGGCCCTGGTGGGCATCGCCTTCGCTGCAGAGTCTCAGCATGGAAGTAAAGCACCACGACAGAAATAAGCACTGCAGCTACAAGGACATCGGCGAGCGCAAATCCAAACAGTAGTCCACCCTCAGCCATGTTTATGATTCCTGCCGATCACGCTAGTAGTACGCCCTTTGAACCTACCAGGTGGCTAGGTTTTTGCAAGCTCTGGAAGCTAATTTGCGGCCGACGACCATCATAAGTACCCACCAATTTTGGCACCATGACAGTGGCAGAGTGAAATAATAGCGTCATCCAACGCCGTGAAATGACGTGTGCCACGATGTCTGCACAAAAGATCCTGTTGTAATTGGGTTTCAACGATGCGATGCGAGTGTGTGGTCCGCTAGGACCATGACGAGCATGGCCACACGATTCCGCGCTTCGCGAGTCTACGAAAAATGCCACTAGAAACTGCTCACTTTCAAGCAGCCACTCGAAGGTCACCAAGGCAGCAACGCGGTCCAGCTCAGCCAGAGGATTACCCTTCCTCTCACTTTGTTGTGATCAGTTTGTTTTTCTCTTTGTTTTGTTCTGTGGTTGCGTTTTTTTTCTTTTTCATAAATGAATAAAGTTGAACCATTCATGTGGTATATAAAAAGGTGTCAGAGTGGGAAGATATATGAGGAAAAATTGTTCAGAGAAAGGGACATGGGTCAATTAGAGCATAGCGAATGGAAATAGTGCTGATGACCCACAAAGAATAGAAACATGATACATTAGTTTACTAAAAATAAATGCAATTCTACGTCAAATAAACATTCTTTTAAATGGAATCCTTGAAACTATAATAAATGAAACTTTTTAGTACAAACAAAAACTATAAAATTTAGATATTGTCTACTAAAAAATAAAAAATGTGATAATCAAAATTAGTAAATGCTTTATAATTTGTGAGAAAATGTAATTTATATATATATATATATATATAGATAGATAGATAGATCTCTGTTTAAGTCAAAACTTTAATACAAAGGAATCAAAAAACATGAAATTTAAGAAATATTTATTGTTTTGTAATATTTAATTATTAGTCATATTTATAATTCTCATATAAATTTAGGTCTCACATTTATATATGTACCTAAATTAAATGACTTAGTTTTGGATGATGCTAAACAGATATACCTTTTTATCACACAACCAGAAGCTCATGTGAAATAAAATGTTGAATTTATCAAACAAAGTTTCATGATTGCAATTTTTTTACCATAAATAAATTTATCATTACCTATATTAATTTAATTTATATTTTATTTATGAAACAAAAAATAATATAAAAACGGGTTGGCTCTTGAACAGTATAACTCTAAAATCGAATAGTAGAAAACATTCTGGATGTTGACTGCTGAAAACAAACAAACAAACTTTTAAAAATAAAAACAAATGCTATAAGCTTGTGAGTTTTTCCAATTATTCTATTAGGTTGCAATAATTAATTAAGACATTATTTTATCATTTTTGACCAAATTAATTAGAAATCTCCTTCTATATTTGCAATTTAATTGTGTAATCTTTGGTAATTAAATACATGATATCAAAGCTAAGAAATGTTTTCATGGATAAAAAGATTGATGAAATAGTTGTAACTAGAATTTTGAAGTAAAGTTTTGACATTACATTTTAAAAATTGCACTAAATATATTATCATTATAAAGAAATCACTTTAGACATAACTATAATTTTATTTATTTATTTATTTTTTATGCATTGATATTTTTTCTTAAATAAATATTTATTTATCTTAAATAATATTGATTTTTTTATTTTTATTTTTTATTTTTTTATTTTTTTTATCTTTAAACCATTTTTAACCCAAATAAATCAAACATAAATAGTAATCATAACCTATACTTAAATTATCTCAATCTTTAAAAGAATAATTTTTTAATATTTAGTTTTTTATTTTATTTAAAAATTACTAATATAAAAAAATATAATCTATTTTTTTAAGGTTCATGCCTTTTATTTTTTTTATTTATGATTACAAATTTCACATGTAGCTCAAGGTAATTATTTTATGAAAAATATCATATATATTCTAAAAATATGTTGATTTAATAGGAATATCCATGTATTCTTGATAATAGAAAATCTATCCTTCACTTTTGTGAAAATATCAAACCTACCATTGATCTTAATAAGGTATCACAAAAATTCTTTTTTTAGTGCTACTAGGGCCTAATCTACTTGTCGAGAAAAAATTACTAAGCCTTCTACA